GTAGTCGGAGAACAGTTTGATGTTGATGGTGGCGGACATGAGGATGAGACGCAGTTCTGGGGTTTCTGCCAGCAGAGAGCGCAGGACGCCCAGGAGGAAGTCGCAGTGGAGGTGTCTCTCATGGACCTCGTCCACGATCAACACCTGGTACTGAGAGAGGGACCGGTCCTGCTGGATCTGCCGGAGCAGCAGCCCCTCTGTCAGGAACAGCAGTTTGGTGGACGGGGTCTTTGTGGTCTCGAAGCGGATCTGGTACCCCACCTGCAGAACATGACAGCATTTTGTATACAGGATCCAATTAAAGAAACACTCTTTTGCAGACAGTTGCCTTGAGTTTGCATGTGCAAAATCTGCTTTTATAACAACAGTTATGATTCATTGGCCTTCCCAACAATGTGTAGAGCTGGTGAAGACTCTTGGAGGAATGGAAAAAGTATCAGCATCAGGACAAAGACCGCCAGATTCAGAGACAGTTATCCCACAGGCCATAAAAGTACACCTGAGCTTGCACTATTTTTATTTTTACTGACTATTTTATTCTTATAAAAATGTATGTGTTTTTGTGTAATTGCACTGTTGCGGAACCTGTGACCTAAGCTTTTCATTCATTGCATAACTACACTGTAGTTATGTATATGAAATGACAATACATCTTTGAATCTTGAATTGAATCTTAAATCTATCTTAGGTCCAGTACTTCTATTCTAAACTGTGTGTTACTGTTGAGTGTTTGATACATGTGCATAGACAAGTCAATACTGTGTTTTGAACATGCTTGACTAGTCTTTGTTCTAGCTGGTGCTTCAGCTGAAGGTACTTGTGATGACAAACCTTAGAGCCATACTGATTGAGACTTTCAAAGCTGACCCTCTTGGCGAGGGATATACAGGCAATCCGTCGAGGCTGAGTGCAGGCAATGTGGTTGAAGCCAGCTGCAATAAGATACTGAGGGACTTGGGTGGATTTCCCACAGCCTGTGTCCCCTGCCACCACCAACACAGGGCTCTGTCGAACCAGCTCCACGATCCGGTCCCGGTACTGGAAGATGGGAAGGTTCTTCTGCTCCCGGCGGAGCTTGGCCAGCTTTCCAAAACTCTGTCTCTGACTGAAGTCCAGGAAGTGCAGCAGAGCCAGGCGGCAGTCTGAGATCTCCTGACTGCCTGGTCCTGAGGATCTCTGGCTGCCTCGGTGCTCTGACTTCCCCAGGCGCTCCTCCACATCCAGGGTGCACACAGACACATTAATCCTGTACCGGGCATCATACTCTTTAGGGAGGCCGAGGTCTACCTTTCCAGAGCCAGACTTACTGCTGTCCTCTTTGGCTCCTGGCCCAGACATTTCCTTCCTTGTTTTAAACCTCTGGAAACGGTCAAAGAAAGCCCAGAACTCCCTGTGCTCCGTGCTGCCGGCCTGGATGTAGTCATGCCGGCGGAAAAAGACCTCGTCCAGCTGGGCTCTGCACTGCGGGCTGTCCCAGTCCCAGCTCCGGCTGTCCCTCCGCCGGTCTGAGGCCATGTTTACTGGAAGCTGTTTTACGTTTTTACGCCTACACAAAAACCAAAATGCATCACTACTAATACATTAAATTAACCAGTTTGAGGCTTTACAGTTTCATAAACATGTTACATTTAAATTGGATAAACTAGACTATCTAAGAAGTACCAGTGCATTTTCAATGGTTTAAAGACGAGCTCACACATTGTGTTTAACTGTTACATCTGAGATTATTGATGAAATAATGCGTTACGACTGTTAATAAACTGAGACATTTATTAAAACCGAATAAATAGAGCTTTCCCTGCTACGAACACCAATGCGTGTATAAAGAGAGCACCAGGGGAACAATAACACGGTGGGACCGTTTCCGGTTTGCTCGCTGTTAAATATCTTCCGGGGATGGTTAGGTCCGTTCTGTTCCGTTTTTTTGTTCCGGCATTAAAAAGAAAAAACCTAAACATTTAAAAGAGAAATTACTCATACTGTATTTTAATATTGCTCTGCGAAAAATCAGAATACAAATATAATTATAAAATATATACATATGTTCTTCTCAGATTGCACATCCTGGTTTACCAGTTATGTTTTTCATACGAAATGCCCTATAAGAAACTTTTCAAAGATGAACATGGGGAAACGTATGAAATGCAGAAATATAAATAGCACTAGATCTGGACCAGAATTTGCATTACATTATGACATCCCAAATGTCTCTATTTTGGATAAGCCATATACTAAAACAATAACATTATATACAAAACATTTTCTATAAAAGGTGAAAGGAAATAATAACATATAAACATTTGAAATTAAATGTCATTCAAAAATTATAGATGAAAGTCATGTCAGACCATGAAAATAAAAAATGCAAAGAATGTCAGGTTGTATTAGAAATATTTTATTAAATATTTGCAATAAAACTCACATTTAAAAGATTAGAAACATTATAAATCGGCAACATTGTTGTTTATGAACTAGATAAACACATAATATCAAACATGAAAGAATAAACTCCTGCTGTTATGTTGATGTGTTTTATGCAGATAGAAAAGCAATTCACAGCTGTAACAATGAAATGCTATTCAACATGAGAAGGGAACTTGTGAAAGGGAAAAATCACATCTCTAACCTTCGGGGATTTCCTAAAAGTCTATAACAAAATGTGTAATATACCAAGCCATAGGAGGTAAGATGGAATGAGCTTGCTGTTATTTTGTTTTTAATTTATAAAATTCAGAACAAAGACAACAAGGAAAAAGGTGGGCAATTCTAATGATATCTACCGATAAAACACCAGACAGTGCACAAGGAGGCACAACTCATGTGTAAAAATCACGCTTAAAATCTGTTTCTTGTGCAGCACATAATGTTCTCCATCAAAACACGCTAAAACCACAGCATAAACAAAACACAAAAATAAAACCTATATTTACATTTTAAAACATTTCATCAACCCCACCCTCATAAAATCACAGTGGACATAAAATGGTGTTGCAATTGCTCTTCAAGCAAACAGTGCTTTTTCCACTGCAGCTGCTACAGGGAGTCAAGGCCACTACACCAGAGTGGTGAAGCAAAGATCCACACTGTGCCCCCTGTCATCAGTCCGTGTTCATGTCAACATGGCCTTGTTTCGCCATTTTGAATGCATCTACACTCCTGTCTTTTCTTTGATCCAGCCACGGAATTTGGTGACTGTTGTGTAGATGCCAGGTTTGTTCCTGCGGGCACAGCCGTCCCCCCAGCTCACCACCCCCGCCAGGAAATTGCGACTGCCGGACGGACTGGTCAGAGGGCCGCCAGAGTCGCCCTAACAGAGACAAATGGGTACATGTGTTAGGAAAGTAAACCGGGCATCATGTATATTTTTCACATCTTTTCTTGTCTCTGCTTTATTCTTCCAATTTTTCCTCCTACACCTTATCTTTAACTTCTTCATTTTCTTTTTTCAGACAAGACAATGCAAATGCTTTTACCAACACTCTTACCAATAGCCTTAATCAGCACAGTATAACTAGCTCATTTCTAGCTAAATTTGCCCATCAATAAAATATTTGTGTCCCTTGTTTTAAGGAAATTGTGTGAGATGGCTGTTTTTCAGAGAGAAAGAAAGCAGGGCAGCTTGGGGTTGAAGTGCCTTTTATTACCTGACAAGCATCGACTCCTCCGGTCAGCACTCCGGCACAAAACATCCGAGACGTGATCTGCCCTGCCATCAGGTCGTTACACACCGAGTGGTTGATGATGCGGACCTGGGCTTTTTGGAGAATTGTTGCAGCAGATCCTGAAGCACAAACGCACACAAGAGGACACCATTACGTTTATGTTTATCTCCAACTGTCATTTCATCAGCTCGAAGCTCTAAAAGTAATTAGATAGACCCTCATCAGAGAAAAAAGCTATTTTTCTATTGAAAGGACCTCAGTAAAATGTGTATTGTGTGTATTAGCAACTACATGATGATCTGTAGGCAAATATGTAGCTACTATAATTAAAACATATTAGCATATAATGAAATACTGGACCAATTGCTAAAAAGTGCTGTCCCAATTAGTGACTTAGACACAAACATATGGGTAAATAGTTTGGAAAATTAAGGTTAAAAAAGTTGGGTCCTTAGCAAAATAATGTTTCAGTCTTTACCTAAATAAAAATGAAAGGGTTATCTCTGAAAAAGTGAAAACTCACCTCCTTCTCGAGTGGCGCCCCACCCGGTGATCCACACAGTGTTACCCGTTGGAAAATCATGTGTGGAAGACGGCAGGCAGATGGGCTGGATGTAATCGGAAAAGGTGACAGGACTGTCCAGCTCCATCAGGGCGATGTCGTTGTCGAAGGTGTATTCGTTGTAGTTGGGGTGGGATATGATCTGCTTCAGGTTCTTCTTCACCACAGAACTGCCAATCTTCCGCTGGGTGTGAAGGCCGAGGTACAGCTCCCAAGTGCCGGGCTGGGAGTATCTGAGGAAACACACAAGGACAGATCGATAAGGTCATTCTCATTGTAGGATCATTATTAATCAAGCACATCATGTGGCAAAAGCACCTCTCTTAGAAAATATGTTTGCAACATGTTTTACTGCGTTAGGGGTAACACTAAAACGTCTAAAACACTGAGGGCCGGTAAAGGTTTCATGCCAGTAAATGATTCACGCACACACCCAAGCATTACGTTGTGAGTAATAACACAGAGCTCTTAGTTCCGCTTTGCACGTGACAAACAGTTTACAGTGTATTTAAAAATCAAACCACTGAATTGCGTAACATATTTTGTTCTCAATTCAAAGAATTGAATAGCAGTTGAGGCATTTCAAAGAACTATGGAGTATCACACCCATTGTTTTTGTGTAAACACTCTATTGAACTGTTTTTGAATCTATTAAAAGGTGAATAACGATAAAAGATTTGGGGACAACAAACTTGTATTTGTTGTATTCTGCAATGTCTTAAAAAACGATGTTACCGGTGATATAATAAAATGATAGAAGACTTTAAAGAATTGTAAAGAGTGCTATTTATATTTATTGTTTTGCCCTTTAAAAAAAAAAAATCGTGTTTATGTATGTATATATATATATACACACACACACATGTATTTTTAATATTTTGTTTATCTTTGGGGCGGTGGGAAATGGCATTTCGGTCTCCCTGTTTATACAACACTCAGAGATATTGATAATGAAGTTGACATAGACTTTAATGGCATTCTGTATTTGCACTTATTTATTTTGTCTAAGTGCACGTGCTAAATATCTGCTATTCAAAAATGTAATCATCATCAGTCATCTAAAGGTGGAGAGCTGCATATCAATCTCTCCACCTTACCTATTTAAAAGCTAAAATAATTGTCACGTTTTCAGAAAAGGTTTCTAGTTAGGAGTGAGAACTAGAAGCGAAATGCTACCTTGTCGCGCCGTCATCCTGCACGCAGTGGGCCGCAGTGACCAGCCAGCGTGGACTGATGATGGTCGCTCCGCACACGTGACCGTAATTCTTGATGTGCAGGCTGACCTGCCAGGGATACTCCCCTTCCTCTGTGTCCTGACCGCCCACGATACGCGACGTCTTGAACTTACTCCTCCCGCAGTCTGCAAAGTAAACAATCAGTCACCGGGCTGACATGTGGCAACTCATTGTTGTAGTGCCCTGAAGCGGAAGTCTGTTTTGTCAAGCAAACTAATCAATGCAGGTTTTGACAACAACAAGTCATTTAATCTGACCAACCAAACTGAGGTTTTGATTGAGACATACCGCAGTTCTCCTCGTCCGATCCGTCTTCGCAGTCTGCTGTCCCGTCACATTCTGGGTTCACTTTACTGATGCATTTATTGTTTTTACATTTATATGTGAGTTCAGTGCAGCGACTATCAGTACCTGCAGAGAGAGAAGGAAAGAAAAATCCAGTTCAAATTATGAAACTTCTTAACGTGCAAACATTTTAAACTCACACAATAACTAATTAGGGGCGGGGCATTTCTAAGCAGTTGAAAAATCATGCATTTAATTCCTCTAATTTGGAGAAAAACAAGATTTCAAATACATTAAATTCAGTGACGTATGGCTGGTGAAAGTCTTACTTCTGCCACAGTCAAGCTCGTCGGACCCGTCTCCGCAGTCGTCCCTGCCGTCACAGCGATTCTTCTCAGAAACACATTTTTTGTTCCTACATGTTACTTTTCCAGATGTGCACCCGCCTTGGAAAACAGAAGAAACAGAACGGCATTAGAAAGCCGACTGAAAGCCTTTCAGTGCATGTGTCAAAATAATCCTCCACCAGCGTCAGCAGGACTCACCACAGCCCAGCTCATCGGTTCCGTCTCCACAGTCATTCACGCCGTCACATTTCCAGAACATGGGCTTACACAGGCCATTTTGACATTGGATATCCTTTGCATTGCACTCTGGAGAAAAACACATTGATGTAGAGTGTAATTCGACTTCTAATTTTCACTACTCTTTTGGAGTATAATCTGAGTAAATAGTACTTACTGCAATTCAGTTCATCACTCATGTCCCCGCAGTCATTCCAGCCGTCACACTTGAGCTCTGTTTTGATGCAGCGCTGGTTTCTGCACATGAACTGCTTTGGACAAGCTGTGGACGGCAAGGTAAACATGAGCTACACTCGCATTTTGTCAATAATTAATCGTTATCTGGGAGAAACGGAGTCCCTTACGGTCTTTGACGTCGATGGCCTCATAGGTGGCTTGGAAACCTCGGTCCACATACGAGTTGTCGGAGAAGAACACCACTTTCATGATGTTGGTGGTGCTGGTTTCTGTCGTTGCTTCCGGTTGTTCTCCGCAGAGCCTGAGGAAGAGACGCACAAGTAGTGACATGTCTGATCTGTTGTGTAATACAATGTG